AAAAAAAAAAAAAAAAAAAAAAAAAAAAGAAGAAGAAAGAAAAGAAGAGAAAAGAAATAGCCTTGAAAGTGTTTCTACCTTGGGGCTGAAGAGATGGTGTTGGGGGATATTCAACTACACAGTGAACCCTGATTTTGCATTTGCATTAATTAAATAAAATTAACCTTGGGTCAAGAGGCTGAGTTAGCAACTAGTTGACAGAAAGTAATCCTAGAGCACCAGAGGGCATCTGGGAGAGATAGGGAGCCACACTCAAAATAGTAGAGAGGGATTTGGAGTAGTGCAGCTTTTTTTGTTTGGGGGAGTGGAAGGATGCTCTTTTTTGGAGATGCCAGCAAGGAGAGAAGGTCAGCTAATTACAACCCAGCTTCCCTGAGCTAGCAGGTTTTCACCCCAGCCTTTGAGTCTCTAGTCTTATTTATAAATAGAATGATAGAGATTTTGTCAAAGCTACCTTTAGCGGCAGCCACAGAGCTGGTGCCTGTGGGGATAGAATTCCTGCCAGGCTGTAGCCTAAATGGCCGGACTGTTGCCAGAGAAGCAGCAGGCCGATAACTTTGGAGTCACAATTGCTGGTGGAAATAGCATTTGATTAAGGCACAGCCACTGTGCCAAAGTTAAAACAACAAGATGATGCAGGGGTTAGGAGCCCTGGCTACTGTTTCAGAAGAGATGGGTTCAATTTCCAGCACACACATGACTGCTCACAACTGTCTAAGTCCAGCCCCAGGGGGTCTGATGGCCTCTTTTGGCTCACACACGGTGCACAGGCATACATGCAGACAAAACACCCACACACATAAAATAAATAAGTTTTAAAAAGTGTTTCTATTGTTAATGAAATAATCCAAAGATTAGGACTCTGCTTGCACAAAAATAAGTATGGAAATAAAGTTTAATACACCTACATGTTATTTTCAACATTACAGATGTGAGTTTTGAAAAGAGGAAGGGATGAGGATTTCAAGAGCTCTACCATATCAGTGGGTTGAGCAGATAATGATGCCCAGGATGGCCTGGCAGCCTGTTGCGGAAAGAATGCTCTGGAAGCAGAGAAGTCGAGGTTCAAGTCTATTAAGCTCTCAGAAACACCCAACAGTGATGAACTTCAGACCTTGTTTTACAAAGAGGGAGTGATGATACCTTACTGTCATGGTTGACACAAAGGTCGTATCATGGAATGTGTTCTATATATTTGGTAGTTATTATCTGCACCCCTATTGATAAAAAAAATGAACACCTAATGTGGAGTCAAATATTGCGAGTTTTGTTTTCTGAACTAAACCATACCTGCTAAGCACTGTGGCTATTGCTTTCCTAGTAAAGACCTTGGATGCAATTAACCATTAAAGCATTCCATGCATATTAACCAAATTTATGTAAAGTCTGAATGATTAAAAAAAAAACTTGTTTTCTCTCTCACACTGAAAAAAAAGATGTGAAATGTTTTGTTCAGTTTATAATTATTTAGTCAAAATCCTAGGGAAAGAAACTAATAGAATTCTGGGTG